CCCCCCCAGCTATTAAAATACCATACAAAAATTGCGTGAAACATTAAATATAAAGCCTGGCTTATCTCCTACTTTTTATGAACAGACACAGATGTGTATGTACATGTAGCCGTCACATAGGCTATGTGACATGTGCCTCTGTCGTTGCCGTCGCTGTCGTAGCGGTTTACTTTCAGGGATAACACAATTAGTTTCACCTTATGTCTTCAGAATTACAGAATTGATGAATATATAGTAATAGACAGGTCTAGTTCGAAAACCAACCTGAACAGATAATGTTCATTTTTCACATATTGTCATTTTCAAGGTGTGGCTTTGAACTTCCATGAGCTTGACGACCTTTGTTTGTTACATATTTTATTATAATTATTATAAATGTATATTATATTGTCTAAACTTGGCGGTGACTATGCTATAAAGCATTATGTAATATTACAATATCAAATTTAAGAAAATCCTATTTTGAGTACTGCCACCATAATGACCATTTAAGGCTGATTGGCTTCTTTTTCCGGAAGTAATGCAGTTTTTGTTTTTAACAAATATTTAAAATATTCATTTTTCACATATTGGCATTTTCATTGTGGGACTTATATCTCCCATATGGTAGTTACATTTTCTGAATGTCCATGCTACATTTAGTAGATAATTAGTGCGGATTATTTTAATCATTATGTAATATTGCATCATTTTGTGCACTGCTATCAAACCGCTTTAAAAGGAAAATTGTGTTATTTATTCTTTTGTAACTTAGACGAATGGTTTTCAAGGTTGACATATACCTCAAATAGTGAAACTAGCTTGAAAGGATTATATTACTTGAATAAATGCATTTTTTGATAAGATTTCATTTTTGTCATTCTGGTACTTTCAGTGTGTGAATTTGAACTCTCATATGGACCTGCAGCCTGGTGCTAGTTACATATTCCTTACATATCCATGTTACCTGTGGTGCATAGTTAAAGTATATGGTGTGGACTTTGCTGTAAAGCATAATGCATTATTGCATGAAATTTTTTAAAAAATGACGTATTTTGTGCAACATTATATTCTGCTTTTCGTGTGTACATTTGACAGCTTTGCTGCCTTATTCGTTAATTTCCTCCTACTTTTCTCCTATTTTGGGGCCCAAAATTCTACCTTTCCTGCTTTTTGGACAATAAAATAGGCGGAAATGTATGAACTGGGACAGATACGTACCTTTGCTGGATGTTTAGACACAAAAATTACTCAGGTACAATGTACAGCTTGGTACGCGTACGTATGATATCAAACATCTCTGTTTCAGGTCATTAGTATTCAACGGCTTTATCAGAAACATTATTGGTGTAAAAGCAGCTCTAGCTCACAAGAACGGGTAAAACCGAAGTCATTAATATACCAAAGATATTTACACAAAGAGTATTATCATTTTGAAATCCAAAAAAAGTATTACGCCTAATAAAATCCAAGATCAAAAGGTACGCCTCCACTCTCTTATTTTCAAAGTTCAATCAATTTCAGGAAGTTCTAACGCAAAATTTCCCATTGTAGGTGGGGAGCTGCAATCCGTCTCCCAGGAAAAAACCAAGAGGCAAAGCATGGTTTTCTTTTCTATATATTAAAACCGCGTGCTTCGCGAAGAAGGACATTGTCCTAAGTAGAAAAAATATTTTTTTCATTATTTATGCAGATTTGTTTTAAATATATAACTATTTTCAATTTTAAAAATACAGCACAGTCCCAAGTGTACTACTAAAACGGCCCAGTTAGAGGAAATAGAGGAATTAGACCACGGCAGTATTATAACAGACCAATCAAAGGATTCTACAAGGGTTATAATACAATTTTCTTTGATCTCACAGTCTCACAGATCACTCACAGATCATGAATTCGCCAGGTCCTCCAAAATATGACTCATTGTGTAAAACGAACCATTTGTTATCAAAGGAATACCTACACCACGCACTCACGGATAGGTAGTTTTTATTATTCTTACTATATATAACTTCCCAATGCTCACGCCCAAGGTTGATATTTTAGACTCTGACTTAAAAAAAAAAAAAACTGACAAATGAGGAGGTGACTCCGTGAGGTTGCATAAATTAAATGGATATACAACATTGCCCCAAAAACGAAATTCATGTTTCGATGCATTTAAGTATATAGGACAACGATTTTCCTCTAAAGTGTGTGTGTGTGTGTGTGTGTAAATCTAAGCTACTCCAAACAACCAGTGAACAGCGATAAAATATTGACCTACATTGATAATTTGGTTTGACACAGGAACTTGATTTTACCTATGACAACTGGACAGAGAGTACAAATATGCTTGTCTCATAAAATTTATATTTTATAATTAACATCTTTATGCATAGTCTGTATAAATATCTTTCTGTTTACTGACACAAAAGCTCTTTGAATGAATGTTTGGAATGAGCTACCTCTGTTGACAACATGGCCTATTGATAAGATGGCCCATTGACGAGATGACCACGGTTGTGCGTTGTTTGTTTGCACGTGTTCAACACTTCCTTACAGTCCTCACACCAAGGAAGAAGACCTTTATTTACTTCCTTGCCTACACAAATTGAGACCAACGCAAACAATATTGATAGTTGCCAGTGGCGGATTTAAGGGGATGTCAGGGGGGTCCTGACCCCCTCCCCTTCGATTTTTGAAAAAATAAAATTACACCAAAGGTCCCCTCTTCAAATTAGAATTTTGACAAGTTGAATCATAGTTGTAAACCGCACCAAATGGCACCGTTTGCCCCAAGGGGGGAGGGGGGTTTGGAGGGCAAACGGTTCCTTTGGTACGGTTTAGAACTATGATGCAGTATGTCAATATTCTAATTTCAAGAGGGGAATTTTAACCCATAGGAAATAAGTGTATGGAGGAGCAGAATGAAGTAAACTAGTGTTAGACAAAATGACGGAGAAATACAGCTGTTTAACTTGCTTTTTAAATAGGCTTTCGACTTTTGGGTTTGTTTCATATCTGCTAATAGTCATGTGAAAATGGAAGTAACAACTTGTCGCCAATAATCACTGATGATGAAACTGTTTATCAGCCAATAAAATTGGTATTTAATTAGAATTATAATCAGCGCTGTCCTTAGCCACTTAGGATTTCCGTGCACCTGGCGTTCGGGCTGTCCCTTGGGGGTGGTTGATTACAATATTACAATATTGTAATTTCTGATATTTCATCCTAGACCATAAGAATGAGGAAGTTCACACTTCGGGCATTGAGAGACCTATCACCAAGGATGGACAATGGCACTTTGGAATCCGGGAGGGGCCGGGGTGACCCTAGGGGTGGTTGATCATTCTGAATTCCTTTAATTTCATTTTCATTTGTAATTTTTTGCTTTATCCTCCTGCTTTACCAATCGAGAGAGGCAATTTTGGTGTCAAATAAAATTATATTTAGGGATGTGCATGGGCACCTATGATTTGGGCTGCCCCTGGGAGAGAATGATTCTTAATTCTTTTTATATTGTTATTTATGTCCAGTCTTTGGGTATTGGCAGACTTTGTCATCGCAGATGTAGCTTGTATATCGGACCTTGGGATTGGGCTGTGCCAAGGAATGTGTAGATGCAGACAGAGAGGTCACAAAGGCCATTGATAATCTGTTGGAATGAGTTCATATACAGACTTGACATTTAATATGGAATATTTCAGTTTCGAAGGTATACCTAGGTAAAAATACGTTCTTTTTTAAAATAACTCCGATTTCATATAAGATTTGTGAATGTAAAAGTATGCAGTCATGTGTGTCACTACCAATTAACTGACTTTCATGCATGTTGCGCTGCTACACTATGTAATTTGCAGTGATTTAATTGGATAGTGTTCCTTTGGGCTGATCAAAGCTTGGCTTAGGCAAAGCTTGGTTCTGTCAAAAAAGTATCCATATTTCAGCAACTACTGCATAGAAAAATTTGAAATTTTGCATGCAAGCGGCCAGGTTTGCAGTGCGTAAGATGAGTCAAGAAGTGCATTACAAATTTGTTAATCTAAGGCAGAATGGCGCGAAAAAGACAGACATCACCAGACAGATCATAGCGCCAAACGGAACGGTCCCCACAGTTTTATAGAGTAATGCCCAGACTGATGTACCTACACAGAGGTGACCCCCAATGTATCAAAATTTTACCTACAGGGTACAGGACCCACTGTCTTTCGGGATACGCTGCTGCAACTAAACAAAAAACACTTAGTCCGTTCAGAACGAGGGGTAAATTGCCACTAAAATGCGTTTTTCAAAGCCCTTAGCGAACACCAAACTGGTTTTAGCAGGTAAGAACACCTAATGACCTCCGAGGTACCCACTGTATACAGCAAAACATCGTCGTCTGTTTCTCTAATGAATTGGGGGCCATGAACGATTCTGGGTAGAACACTGAAACTGCGTGGCTTTCTTTATTGAGGTCAGATTTCACCTGTAACGCCCAATTAGTCAAAACAGAGTTTACAGATATCCAGAAGAGGCCTACGACGAAGCATATGCCGGGTCTAAAGTGACAAGGGTGATTGACAGCGTCAGTATTTGGAGTAGATTCCACATTGGTGTCAAAACACCAATAGTAGTCATCGACGAAAACCTGAACCAGATCAAATAAAGGGATAATCTCGGAACCACTTGACTATCATTTGATAGGGGGCACCTTAGGAACAATTCTAGGTTGCACGATGAGGTTGCAGGTTCACACAGAGCACTTTTAATAGCAGATAACTTACAGAACCAAGGGGATGAGCAGCTACCCTGGTCATCAAAATCGCCACATTTGAACCACATAGACAATATTTCGGTAGACCATTACTCACCAATCAACTGCCTACATGTCCTACAACAAAACTGGACCAGATTGGACAATTTCAGACCGATGCCTAGAATGCTATTCCAGATTGAACTCTAAAAACCTACCCTCAAGAAATGCCTTGCCGCTTGAGAGCGCTGGCAACAGCCACGAAGAGGCCAGGCGTAACAACGACCATTACTGTGACTAGCAACTGACATGAGGGTCTTTTGTGGAGCGTATTACCCTTTTACATACGATAATTTGGAAACTATGGAGATCCAAAATATCTCTTTTAATGGGAGTCGTATGACATAGAATAGGCAATGTGTTTTTGTTTGTTTCTCTGGCGAATTCCATTAATGAACTGATGTCACAATGACATCAAATAGATAATTTAAAGTTATTAAAACACGATTTTAATCCTTATTTTCATTTATCAGTCCGCAAAATAGGAAAAAACTGATAAAAGATTATTTCGAAAAAAATATTCCATATTAAATGTCAAGTCTGTATAATCAATATACACGCATTGTATTGATTTAGACAGTGAATGAATAGAAAACATAAGTTGCTTTAGTATGATCAATTTCATTTTTATTTGTAACATCAAATACAACTCAAAAGATGTCCCAGCTTTATCGACCCTCATATTTTAACAGCAGAAGATCGCAAAAACAATAAGTATACGTTCCCCAACGCATTTCCGTGACTCTGACTCCATGGTGACACGCGCTCCGCTGCATAGCAACCACACCATGAACGTGTAGAGTTGGGCAGGAACAGCTCATTGAAAAAACATTCAGGATCTTACGAATCTTTGTGTACATTTATTGGTATTGTTTGCCTAAGATGACAAAAATCAAACAGATCTGACTGACAATATCAGCATTATTTGTTAATTACTGAGATTAGCGGAGCCGGGAGGTCACTGGACTGGCATTTTTTGGTGTGATTCATTTTTCAGAAACCGCAGAGAGGGGGGTTCAGGTCAGGTCACTGCACCCCCCCCCCCCCACCCCCTTCTCCATTATCCCTGCTTGTATTGTTGGCTGGTGATCGCCATTTTGGACCACCGATTCAGCTGCAGTCTCGGTTTGCGACCGTTTTATCAGAAAAGATAGCAAATACCTGCCATGTCTTGATAACAGGTCAACCAATTTGATGTTGAAATCAAGCCACACTCCGCCCACTTGGCTGATACATGCACATTTTAAATAAAACATCACTTAAAATCGACTACAGCGTAAGACGGATATTGGCCTATTCTGAAGGAGAAAAGTCTTCTGGCTATTAGACTATTGTAGTTATTTTTAAACGCTGCCTAAAGTTTGTCCCAAGACAGTTCAACACCCAAAGTACAGGATCCGGTTAGGGCAAACTCCAGGGAACACAAAAATGCTCGGGATTGCATTCATATTTGCGTTTTCTGCACTTTACAGTCAACTGTAGGCCTAACTATAATATATAATTCATAGTGATTCATAGACGACGGTCTTCGACTCTTCATCGTTTCTTATGGACAAACAATTACATGTACATACACTATAGGCCTATATCAGAAAACTTGAATATGAATGATAAGGCATGAATTATCGCTCTAAACAATACATATAGCCTACTATTGGCCTACTATGCGCTAGTCTTTATCTGAAGGAGGTGGGGAGGGGGATAACATTAGACTATAGCTAGACTGCTGCACAGGTAGGCCTATTTGTCAAGAACACAGTGTTGCCTTAGACGTGACCTCAGCGATAGGTTTACAGATCAATTGACTGCACGTTGCACTGTTTGATTATGTTCGGTCGTCAAGTTTGAATAGACCCACAATCAGCGATAAAGAAAAGCCGTGCAAACGTGGAGTGCCGAACGCAGTCGATACACCTGTAAAAAACACTTGTAAATAAACAGCACAGGTTTCCACACCTAATTCACACATTAAATACACACAACAAATAATTTCGTCGAACTTCGTGTAGCGAGAATAGTAGACACTTGGAACTTGAAAAAAATTGGAAATCCCAGATCGATCACGTGACAGCTCAGTTCTTGGAATTGGGTTTTCCCTTGGTTTCTAAAAATAGCCCATTCACCAGCTATTGATATCTGATAAAACATTACTTCGGCCTTTGTAATCTGGGTTGTTTTGCAGGTTTTAAACCCCCCAGATAACAGAACGTTACATGTAGGTTAACTTGTTGTCGGGAAAAACTTAATAACGAGTTGTAAATGCTGTTAAAGTTTACACTGTAGGCGGTGCGAGACCCGAGAACAACGGAATTTTTGAAGCGGGGAATCCCCTGCATATTTCCTCTCATTCTGACTAAGAGGGATTCTTCAGAATTGGAGTTTCTGACCTTGCAGAGGTGTAGTTGTAATTTTGTATATCACAAGACACTGTTGTGGCTGGCAAGAAAGCTGTCCTCAGCTGTTATCTCAAGCTTGGTAAGTATTTAGTTCGTGTGATTTTGTGCGTTGGCCGTGTGGAGTTGTCAGAACAAGCATAACGTATTATATTTTAATATTAGACAATTAAGTATTGTATAAAGATGTATGACTCACAGTGGGAATTTACCCCCTCATGTTGACACCACGTTACGGTTTGTGGGTTACTAGTGAATGCAATGACATCAAACTGGATCATAAGCAGCGATAGATTCGGCGTGCTTCTTAATTAGTAGCCTTCATGAATAGGCCTAAGGCCTAGGCCTACTACTTGTTCAAACTATTAACATAGTATGCATTGGGGGTTTCAAAACGGAAGAGTTGACGGGGGGTGGGGATTAGACTTTTGACTCAGTCATTAGCTTCATACATGTTTTTTGCAGATTAAGCTCCCCTCCATCTCCTCTCAACACAAACATTCATGCACACACACATACACACACACACACACACACACACACACACACTAGCTGCCATCGGGACAATTTAAGTTAATCCCGGACCGGCCAGTGAAAAAAAGTTATTAAAAAAAAACGAAGACCTATAAATCGATAACCGTCATCTCTTTGCACAGGAAGTGGGGTGTATTATGCCATCTCGTAGTAGGCCTATTGGAAATGATCAATCAGCAGCGTCTCGGCGAGACGCCAGGTGGTGGCACATTTCACGTGCTTATCCTCTTGGCCTTGAGAGCTGAAGAAGACTTCACCCCCACAGTACATATGTCATTTGGGTTCACTAGGGTAATATAGTACATGTTAATAATTCTCTGATATGATGCACTCAAACTATGCTTATCAGTGGCTGTTCCTGTAATTTTGTTATCCTTAATTTAATTGAACACATTGTGTTTACCAAAGGTCTTTTTACTACATGCACAGAGTTCATGCGGCGATAGCAGATATATTATGTACAATTATACCGGATGATAACATAGCCTACTACAGATATATGTGTAATAGTGCCTGAAATTTCATACACAAAGATCCAGGGGCCTGTGATCATAAGACCAATTTTTTGAAACTGCTTTGTGCCTGTTAAGTCATAAGAGAAGGCTATAATTGTACATTGTTCTTCATTTACATTGTCAGCTATTTCATGGCATCGATAATTTATGACTGGTACATACGTATACCAGTATCGAGTAGAATCTTAACACAGAAACCTTGGAAATTACCTCACAGCCTGGTAACAACAAAGGAAAAATATTGACTTAGAAACAAGTCCTTGTTTTTGTTAATAAAAGATTCATTTTAGCATATAAAGTGATACATTTTACTGTTTGCCTTAATTGAACTATGACGATATTGCAAATCAGATGGTTAAAACCCAAATTTTTTTCCCATCAAATGCCGGTTATCTTTTCTATGTTCATTTCCCCTTAACCCCAATCAAAAACAGCACACTTCCTGTTTCAAGCCAATTAATACAGAATATAGGTCATATTATATCGAGACGGCAAGTTTCTATCGTATGTTATAGCAAATGGCTGTACAGTAAAAATAATGGTATTGTCTATGTAGATTGTTTATGCGGTAATTTTTTACATATTTTATTTTCTTTCTTACTCTAATTTACAAATTCTCCCCACTATTATCTTAAGTATGTTTCAATCGTTTTCATGTAACAGTTTGAAATCAATAGTGAGAAAAGTGACAAACCTGTAAGAAGTATTTCTGGTCAAATAATAATAATAATAATAATAATAATAATAATAATAATAATCTTTATTGAGATATTGCAACTACGAGGGTTGAAGTTATAAATATACTTATTTAATTCACAAATATAATGTTTATTTATATGTGACCAAAGTGAGTAAATGTCTCAGAAGGTGCTAATGTCAACCGCCGCGTTAAATCACATAGTCCTACCCAAAAAATAACATCTGTATAACATTTGTAGAGATCTAGGTTTACCCCACTTCCTCTCAAATAAATAAATAAAATAAAATAAGGAGAGAGTGAGAAAGAGACCTAAGACAAAGAGAGGGAAAACAGTGCTGAGCATTGTTTTCATTTTCATTAAATAAAAATAATGTGTGGCAAAGTAAACACACATTATTCCACATTATTTTTATTCCAGACCGTTCCTCCAAAACAATACTGTAGATTTCATTACAAAACTACCTTATTTGCCAATCTTAACAGAACAAGTGACCAAGCTAGCACATTTCTCTGAAAAAATTTTGCAATCTCTCGTTTCTGTGAGGTATATATAGTGGTATTATCAAAGAATTTTCTTCAAAAACTTGAAGAAATTAGGTGCCATTTAAAAGATAATGTAACCCATATTGACATAACACAGATGATATACTGGGAAAAAGTGACAAAAATGGCTGCTTCCAAGAACAAAAATTGATAACACCTACCGTAACATGCATTGCATGGACCAAGATAATTAATAAAGCAGATGTTTATAATATCGTATTTTAAATATAAAGCCTGTTTTAATTCTGTTATTTTAAAAAAGCCTTTGTAATGACTAATAACATAAACATCAATACAATAATTAGCCAAGAGACGCTCCAGCGATGGCGTCTTAATGATATTGGGATTATCAGCAACTAAAACAAACATGGCGGCGCGCCTGAAACCGATCTGAATTCTTATAATGTTGAACATCTTTCAAAATTAATATTTGTATCTTGCAACAAAGTTACGTTTTCCAGCTTCAATTTGACTATTAATTTTCTTTCATTAATTACATCATTATTGTCGATTCTATTGAATTCTTTTTGCTCGATATGAATGACGTAAATCCTCATGACGTCATTATCAAGGCGGTCCAAAGACTCCCCTCCATTCGTTTTTGCGGTTGTTTTTTCCAAAGCAAAGGTAATATTTTACTATACACTTTGCAAATATCGCCAGTGATTTCAGTAAAAAGGTTACAGTTTGTTCAATAGCCGAGGAAAAAATATGGTTTTAGTAAGTAACTTTTTCTGGTTAACTTTCAGTTAACCTGCAGTAACTTGTCGTGGTCGTGGCATCCATCTTGGAATATGGCCCTGGATAGAGCATATAGTCACGTTCTTCTTCCTAGTTGTGCAAGGTGGTTAATTTATTTTACTGCAAATAACGTTATAAACGAACTTGTGTCACACTTGTTAAAAAAATCCTTAAAATTGTATTTAAGAGCGTATTGTCACCAAATGACTTGTAGAGTCTTTGCTTGTCAGGTAAAACTTTGTCTAGACCATTTAGCCTAAATTATAGCTTGTTATTATTATTATCATTATGTTGTCACTATTGTCGTGAATTTTCTATCTATAAAATATTTCACTTTAGTTTTTTTACATTTCTAAATGAACGAGAATACATACAGTATGGTTCATCATAGCCCTTCTAATCATTGAATGAAATTAATTTAATTGTGAATGTCCTAATTAAAAGTTGTTTGCAGAGGTCTTAGATTAACAACAGCCCTTCTACGTGAGCTTGGGGCATTTTTCAAGTTTTTTACGTAAAAAGAATATCATACAGGTCTATTTCCACCTACCTTTTCCTAAAGTGGTTTGCACCGGGACTTCGTATTGTCTTTTGTAGAACAAATAAACGAAATACCGATCACGACAGAAAACTGCAATTCCTCTCAGAAAGACATAAGTTGGTCAAATCTTTGAGATAAGCCTATATAGTTTTATTGATTACGAAATTGTTATTGTAGATGTGGGACGAGATCTACCTTATTTACGTAATCCACATGTTTTCCAAGAAATGCTGTCAAATTTTGTTAGTTCTTGGAAGAACAGAAAAAACCTTTTTAAGGCAACCAATGTGTGAACTAAACCAATAGTTAAGTGTCGTATTTTAGAGAGTTGCAATAGTTGTTTTCGTTAATTATTTTTTATTTTGTTCTTTTCTTTTTTAATAAATAAATTCAAATATGTGGTTTATTTTTCTCAGATAATCATATTGTAGGAATTGCAATTGTTATTTATTTTTTATTTAGCTTATCGTTTTATTTTGTAGGGAGAAAGTTTTTATTCTTATTTTATTATGTTTTTATTCTTTTGTAATTCTACGAATTCTCTCTTTCCTAGCCTACCACTATTATCTTAGAAAAGTTTCAGTCGTTTTCAAAGAGAGTAACCCGCTATAAACGATTAAATAGCCCTACACTTAAAACTTTTATTTTCGTGCCAACAAGTGTTTGCTCAAAATTAATATCAATTTGTCATGAATTCTTTTCAAGGATTAAAAATTTTAAAAATCAGTTGATTTTTAGTCAAAGGTTTTTTAACTTACAGCAGAATGAACAAATTGATATATACAAGTTAGTTATTGTGCAAAAAATGTGACAAAATATGGCTCCTTCCAAAAAACAATGGGATAACACTTAACGTTATATGCACTGGGTAGGGCAAGATAATGAACAAAACATGTTTATACTGAAGGATCTTTAAAATGCAGCCTGTTTTAATTGCGTTTTGTTTTTAAAAGGCCTTCTCGACGACTACTGAATAAAACATATATACAGTAATTAGCCGAGAATTTCTCCAGAGTCGGCGTCTTGGTGATATTGAGAAAATCGACAACGCAAACCAACATGGCGGCGCGTCTGAGACCGATCTGAATCATATATGTTGACTAGCTTTCAAACCTTTGTTTTTTTCAATAAAGTAACATATTTACCATCTTTACTTTAAGAAGTATTTTTCTCTCATAATTTTAGCTATCACTATAAATATTATTAAATTCGTTCGAATCCAATAAAATAAACCACAAACGTGTATGTCATTATCCAGACGCGTCGAAGATTGCCCTTCCTCTCTCTGGCTTTCTTTCCCACAGCAAAAGTAATGTGCTGCTATTCAATTTGCCAAATAGCGCTATTTTGCAATAATTTCTGTAACAGATAATGAGTAGTACCACATGCACAGCTACCTCCTTTTTTCTGGTCAAATTTTAGTCCATGTTCGGAAACTTGTGTCGTGACGTGGCATCTATCTGGGAACATTGATTGAACAAAAATATTTTCTTCTGCAGAATCATTAAGCGAAGAAACTATCACGACAGAAAACTGTCATATTTTTCGGAGAGACCAAGTTGATTCAATCTTTCGGACAAGTTTATATACAGTATTTTTATTACAAAATTCTTATTCTTATAGGTGTGGCACTTTATTTACATAATCCATATGTTTTACCGAGAAACGCCAACTTTTGTTAGTTCTTAGAAACCAAGAAGCGCTTTTCACAGATTAACAATTGTGAACTGAACCAGAAGTTAAATATTCTATTTTAGATCGTTGTTTTTTTCATAGCATGTAATTTTTTTCCCATCTTTTTTTCTTTTTAAAAGAATTAAATTCAATTTTGTGGATTATTTTGTACACATCATCAGAAAAAATGGACAATCGTGAGTTCCTATTTGTGTTTCTAATTTGTCAAATATCTGTAACTTCCACGAAAACCCGCAACGTCCGTTACCCCCAGGAAGCGTGATAAGCCCAGTACCCCTGTACTGAACGCAGAGGGATTCTATCAACACTTTTCTCCAGTTAAACTGGTGAGGGGGAATCTTTGCATTTCTAGTATAAATTATTTAGATAATACCCGACGACTCCAATCTTTGGACAACTGTGATAGCCAGGACGTTAACTCATTTATTTGGGAATTAACTTAGGGCAGGCATCTTGGAAATTCTAAATCAAAATCTTTCACTTCTTAGAAAAAACATGACACATGTTTATTTAAGCTTGAACCTTCATCTAAATTATTGACATAATTTCTGCATTTTATTATACATTCCGTTCAATTTATTTATTCCCCATTTTACCATTGGTATTATACCGCAGGCGCACTAGTATACCATTTCTAGGACATAAGGTATTTTTCGAAACAAGTTGTGTACAAATATAAAACAACAAAAATAGGTGCGAATATTGGCCTAATTGGAAGCATTGTCACAGTTTTAATTGCCATATGTTGTGTATTCTTGAATTGCGAAAAAGGTCGAAATGTTGACGAGTTGTAGACCATCAAGACGAAGACTCTGAGTTTTCGATAATTTTTTTTTTCGTGTCCAAGAGTAACTTATAAATGTCGAACATTCGAAACACAGTATTATATGTACAATTTATGTCATCAATCAGTTTGGTCGCTCTTATATAAAATATACATTTCCGGACGCACAACTTACAATAAAAGCAGTCTTTTTTTTTTTTTTTTTTTTTTTTTTGTTTTTTGTAGATATTGAAGTTACGTTCTGCCATAGAATAGATAGATAATTTTTTTCAACATGAGCAAAGAGTACGATCGTTTTTTTTTTTTTTTTTGAAGATATTGAAGTTACGTTCTGCCATAGAATAGACAGATAATTTATGCCAACATGAGCAAAGAGTACGGACGGGTTTTTTTTTTTTAAATAGATATTGAAGTTACGTTCTGCCATAGAATAGATAGAAAATTTATTCCAACTTGAGCAAAGAGTACAATTTTTTTTTTTTTTTTTTTTTTTTTGCAATCCCAGAATACACCAAATACATATAAAGTCAACCTAGCAAAAACAAACTTATAATTTCACTCATGTTGGCAAAGTCAAGATGGACATAATATTGAGGTTTTGGACATATTTCAATAAAAACAACTTGAAATATTTTGTAAATAATATGAGTTAATGAAAAAACAAAGATAAAAACGAAATATGTTCTTTCTATTTCAGCATTGCTTATTTATATTTTGGGTCCTTCAAGGTGATTAACATTTTCTTTTAAGAAGCCATCAAAGCAAAATTTTATAGCAACCTGGCAGCTCGTTCCATAACTTTGATGCATAAAATTTTTTATCTGTGACTTTGAATTAAAACAAGGTATGTCAAATTGATAAGCCAAAGACACAACGAAATCGTGCGCTTCTTCAGTTTATCTCACATAATTATTTTCAAGAAATTTCCACGATGTCAGGAAATCGTGAAGCTTAAATCATGTTTCTGCAGTCCACGTACAGTTACTTCGGTATTACCAGTACTTAGGAGCCAGAACTGCCTCTACACCAGTAATAGTTTTGGTAAAGCCGTTGAAATATTAATGAACTAAAACAGATGTGTTTTATATATAACGTATGTAACGGTGTAAGATTGGGTACAAATGACACACGGCATGCTTGGAAATCAATTGTTTGCTCTTTATCATTTAACATTAGTTCCAAATATGATTTTGGAGCCGTTACAACAGAAGTCATTCCATGTCTTTATATCGGCATCAAAGACAGATACAAACTGTAGCATTGTAATTGCTAACACAGAATAGAACACGTGCGCGTGTATGGTAAGGGCTTGTCACAAGCGTTCGTTGAGCATTTAGTTTTGTCTGCCTGCATCTAACTTTTTCTGTCAGCAGAGTGATTAAAAATATTTTTGTTTTTATTTGACTGATGTAGGCAGCTGAGGGATGGCCTTTGCGCAAATATCGTTACGAATATAAAACGAAAATAGGTGCGAATATTGGCCTAATTGTAAGCATTGTCAAAGTTTTAATTTCCATATTTTGTGTATTCTTGAATTGCAAAAAAGGGCGAAATGTTGAGTTGTAAACCATCAAGACGAAGACTGTGAGTTTTCGATAATTTTTTTTTCGTGTCCAAGAGCAACTTATAAATGTCAAACATTTGAAACACAGTATTATATTGTACAATTTATGTCATCAATCAGTTTGGTCGCTCTTATATAAAATATACATTTCCGGACGCACAACTTACAGTAAAAGCAGTTTTTTTAGATATTGAAGTTACGTTCTGCCATAGAATAGATAGATAATTTATTCCAACTTGAGCAAAGAGTACGATTGGTTTTTTTTTTTTTTTTTTTGAAGATATTGAAGTTACGTTCTGCCATAGAATAGATAGATAATTTTGACAATCGTTTACACATAGGCCTAAATGAATTGAAAAGAACGCCTCATAGTCACGGAGCTAAATAAATACGTGTAGAAGTTCGTTCTTTTTACACAAGAGCAGATTTCTTCACTTCCGGTAGTGACGTCGGCATTTTCAGAGGTGAAGTTTGTTTGCACGCAATACAATTCGTATTTTTTTCCGTTCTTTCATTTATTTGAAAGCCAAAATTTTCAAGAAAATCTACAGTTCGATCGCTCCCACTATTTAACCAAAAAAGATTTTTTGAAAGTTTCTGTACACACTTCTGGTCTGATGTAACAAACCGCAAAGTTTCACTTCCTGGAACAGACAAAATCATAAGGAACTACTTCATATGTCCATCTAGGGACCTTAGTTAATGTGAACTTAAATCAGCAATAGGCAAACGTATGCCTAATATACGTGGCATAAAGGGGCGGGTCTACTTGAAAAGGGGCAGTACCGTACTATTTGAATGAAGCAGTAAGCAATGGTAGGTTTCTGTGCAAATATATTCATAAGATGGAAATTCCGTCTCTAGGCCCTGTTTTTATATGCTTGCGGAAGATGAAACTACTCACATACATAATGCCTAAATACTGTTTTTTGTCAATGAATAATAATAATAATAATAATAATAATAATAATAATAAACCACTCTGTTGTGTAAGAACCATTGTGTATTTGCCCCTTTCAATCACGACAACGGCACATTTATTGCAAATAGTCATATTTGTTCTCATTCCTTTTCACACCCGGAATACTGGAGTTCTCACGATCATTCTTTTTCCTACCACTTCACTCACTTCACTCTCTTCCACCATTTCACATGAAAAGGGTGGCTGGTGATAGATATTAGGTCTCGAAAGACTTTGAAACTCCGGATACCTGTTTAAGAATACCTGTAAGTGTTAAGCCGTGAAAATATGCATTGGCGAACATCAACTGCCTATTTCAAATAAAAATATATAACTTTTCAAACACAGTTTTTCCTAAAAAACGTAGCATTGTATCGTTTGGTGTGGATTGGGTTTAGAACGTATTATCGTGAAAACCCACGGCCGTAATGGGGACAAGGCATGAATGAAAGGGGGATCCCCTGTGGGAATTCAGAGGGCCAAATACGGAAAATGCTGCCACCAATGTTTGATAGCGAAACACAATTTGATGTGTCCTACGCACGGATAGGCTGCCTTACGCAATTGGTTAATTTTCAGATTCCACGTGGAAACAAAAGTGAAGAATGGTTGTGTCTACAAGGTCAGTTAAGGTCCGACTGCCTTCCGTAATACTGGAAGCCGTTGCTCCTGCCAGACATCGCAGAAAGAAAAGGAGTAAGCGTCGCTCTCTGTGTGCACGGCCCAAGAAAAACAAGAAGATGCACCTGTCCCATACTGGATATGCTGGTAGTATCAACGCCTATGTCCCCGCGACATTGACAGACGATTTCCCCCTGAGCTTGCGTCCGACGGAGAGACAGCGTATGAAACCGTGGCTGGTGGACCAAGTTGAGAGTCGGTCAGTCCCTGGCTTGGAGTGGCACGACAAGGCCAAAACCATGGTGCGCATTCCTTGGAAACATGCAGCACAGAATAGTTGGAAAGAGGGATCTGATGCCTGCCTCTTCAAACGATGGGCTATCCACACAGGTAAATTGCCTGATGATCAGAATGTTCGTAGACGTGCAACTAAGTTCGGAAGGGTAATTTGTCCTTCCCCGTTCTCAGTGTGCATCATTGTGTAAAAGAGCCCGTGCTTTGGTGAGCTTTTCAGCACACCGTGGTATATATTCAGTAAGCAGTTTCAAAATACAAAAGAAAATAAAAAATGAAATAAAAAGAGAAATTTTCTGACAAGATCGAATTGAGGAGTAGTTGAAAATAAGATATTATTATCATTATTAGTTATTTTATATTATATCAGTTTCTTAAAATCTGAAACTTTCAATCCTGATAACATAAGATAAAATGCGGAAACAAACTTTCTCTGCCAGGAAGTAATATCAGGGGGACACTTAAAATTAGTCTTAGACAGAGAAAGGTCTCTGTTTGTGCATTGAAAGCATAAATCCAATTATAGATATGGATTTACTTCTATCTATCTAAAAGTAAACATCTTAGTACTCTTCAAGCTGTTGGGCAATTTCCCAGGTGCTCCCCCCTGCACGAGCGGATTTCCCGCGGGGGTGGTGTTCTTCCTGGAGAGGGTCGTTATCTCTAATCATTCTACCCATAGGTAAACATCATGACGGTAAGGACCACCCGAGCCCAAAGAGATGGAAGGCGAACTTTCGTTGTGCTCTGAACAGTCTCCCTGACGTGATCGAGGTACCCACCATGGGGAAAAAAAAAGGCAGCGACGCGTTCAAAATATACAAACTTTGCCGGGACAAACAGGAAAAACAACAATTAAAAAGATTCTACAGAGGTAATATTCCATTAGCATCACATAGATACAATGCAACGTAGTAAATTTGATGTTCTGCAATGTTTTTGCAATATCGTAACAACAGTCAATGATACTGATTTAGAAAATGGCCAAATTTATACGAATTTAAATATATAAGGAATTGGCTCATTATTGCACGGTTTTTATTTTAGAAAAATACAAGTATGATTTCCATTTATCCTGTAGGGCAATCTAAATACAACGTTTGTGAAATGACTGATGCCCATGTGCCACCAAGAGGAAACGTTTATGCACGGAGCTTTAGTGACCCATCTCATTCGGTACGTAGCCTTGGGGAAGGGGGTTGCAAGAAGGAAACGCCTTCCTTGTGTCACAGTTGAAGAAGAGCAAGTAGGGCGTGACCAAAAATCGAGCTGTATTTCTTTTAAGAACGAACTTGCTGCCGGTAATTGGTGGTAACTGACTTTTAAATTCCCAATGCATAGAAAGCACAATACTTTTACTGGCAGGTGTCTTTCTCTTACAATCTTTTAAGGTTTAGCAACAAAAATGTGTTAAAAGTTCATGCATTAAAGTATATTGCAATATTTCAATTTAAAAAACTTGTTTTATTTAGGCTAACCACGCCCAGTATAAAAAGTACCGAGGTGGGAACGGCAAGCCGGCAGCATACACTAAGTATTTAGAAAACAGTCGCCATCGCTCCCTCTCTGCCCCGGGAAGTGCTGTGAAGGAGGAAGAGAGTTTGGGGAACACGTGTCGATATTCCAACGGTCCGCTTCCCGATCACGACTACACTGCACCGCAAGGTAAATTACACACTGATTTAGAGTTTCTTTTTTTTCAATAAGATCCGTTAAAAATTGCCATGCTTTGTAAGCATCCTTCTTTAGTCTTTAACCATGTACAAATGCGATCACTGTTCCTGCACTACTGATATGAGGGTTTTCACCCTCAGTTTTCCTATCTCCCTGTTTTTTTTATTCTTGGCGAACGTGTAAGAGAGTCTCAGTGTTGTGTTGACACCAAAACAGACCCTTCTCTCTGACCACTGGGTCCGCTAGTAGTCTGTCACAAAATTATTGTATTGTCCTATACTTTAATTTTGTATTCTATTCTAGATGTCCCCAATATCAGAGGGTAAACTTACCCAGAGTTACATTTCTTTATAAATGGAATGTTTTATCATCCGATTGGCATACAAGCTTATTTCTCAAAGTGTCATGTATTTGTCATAAAGCTACAAAGAATAGAAGTTGCATTGACAAGTGGAGGTGGAGATACAAACAGTGGCAAAGGGATTCACGTGTCCGTGAAATACTTGGCATTGCGTGCACAAAAAACGCACGTTCTACGCACTGTATGTCCGATCAAGAAACGCTGATAAGAGACCAAAAAAAATTAATAACCGGGTAGATGACAGGTTAGACAAGGAATACTTTCAGTATATGTAGGCGGGGTAGAAAATTATATATATATATATATATATATATATATATATATATATATATATATATATATATATATATATACACCCCATATCAAATTTCACGTATTTTGATTTGAAAAAAAAAAGTTTCAAAGGACATGGAATGATGACATATTATTAGAAGTCTTTAATGTGAACGTGTTCTAAACCGTGATCCTTTAGCATTGTTGGTATTCACAAAATATAACTTGAAATACTAAAAAAAATGACAAAAAATGATAAGCATGAGCTGAATGACTCTGTAGTTTTAAATAATTTAGTGAACAAAGTTTGAAGAATTTTAAGCTCAATCCATACAGATCACTAACATGTCAGAGGATGGTATAGGTGAACTGATATCTTCCTTGTACTTTGTTTGGTAACATATTTTAAGGTAGCTTTTTTGTTCCTTTAGCAACCTTCCTTGTTGTTTTAGCGTTTCTAAAAAACAATATATAGAGACAAGAGCTAGATATTTAAGGGAAGGATGACCAAAGATACCAAGCATGTCAGAACAAACGGATTTTTGTTTGTAATTCTCGTGGGTAAGCATGCCCACTCTGTCAGGAGCATGGTAGTCTGGACTGCGGTTTTCCAGTAGTAAATCTTATTTACAAAGAAACTGGAGGGACCGATGGTGAATCTGTCATGTCATTGATGTTCATTTTAAACGGATAGCTTAAATCGTTGGAACTAAAGAGGGGACAGATTTTGGAAAGTTTTCTATGCCCAAATACGGTAAGGTTTAAGTCACACAAACATGGCCTTCTGAGTCATCCCCAGGGTATGAAATCCTTTTCCTGTGTGATAATGTGGTCCAGGATAATATCCACTGACCCCCTTTATCAGTGGTGACTCATATGTATCTAAATATAGATTGGAAATCCCTACGTATCATTCATGTAACTTATGTTTGTTGCAATAACTGATCGCTTATTGAAAGAAATGTGTATAAAATGACGCATTAAGTAAACAAAAGATGACTGGGCATAATACCTTTTACAGATTGAAAAATTTTCTAACCTTTTTAAACCATATATGTGTGAAGGCCGTGGTGCGTGTTACACCAAACAAAAGAAACACGATTGCACAAATGCTCTAAGTTGGTATGCAATAGGATCAAATTCGCCTAAAATACCTTCCTGGAAAGCTTGTGTCCAAGAGCAATAAATTCACAGCGGTTTGAGGGCATTTGAATTAAAAAAAAAACTTTTTAAAAAGTGCCCGTATGCTGGCAGGGATGAGGTGCCCTCGGCCTAGTATATAAAAGCGATGACCTGGATGGCCAGGGTTGTTCTTAAAAGAAAAGGATATATTAACTAGAAATTAAAAGTCTATTTTAACATCAAAGTGAACCGACCACACTTTAGATTTGGATTACAATCCCATGATGACAAACCTCGTCCTCCCCCCCCCCCCCCATTTCTCGCACTACAGCCACCCTTAGCTGCGGTTATAGCAATAATTCATCATAATATGCTTTCTTCTATTATTCAGGTGAGTAACCCAGCTACCGTTATGACATTTAACACCGCTTTGAACAGCGGGGGGCAACTGTATGATACCTCGGCCAGGGGTGCAGGCACCACGTACAGCATGGCCGTACAGCCCTACGTGAACTTAAAGAGAGAGATGAGCAGAGGGAATGACGGTTTGCCGCCATATCAGGACAACCTGAGGGGGGCAGGGAACGATGATGCTAATGGTTCCAGCGACACGGACAGCAACCTAACTGATGAACAACTGGTGGAGGTGAGAGTAGCAACAGCGAAATAGTGAAAAATACCTAATAACTCCTTGTATTCCTGATAATACAATACAGTAATTAACATACCACACATGTACTAACGGTATTTTATTAAGTAAGGTAACAATAATATAAGACGTGCTGCTTGGTATTAATAGTCTATGTCGTGTTATGATATCCATTATTATACATATTGTATACTTGTATACGTACTACTCTACGTAGATTAGTAAGCCAGCAAATGTCAAGCTATTGGCATATTTAGTGCTCAATAAACATTATTATTATTATTATGTGTGCCATGTGTTGTTTCAGATGATAGACGAGATGGAGAGGACCAGTAGCCCGGGGACCACCAGTCCCTTTGAACAGCCGGACTCCTGGCGGTACACAGAGGGGGACGGGGGAAAGGACTACTATGTGAACTCTACAGGTGGGCAAAACAGAATGTTTTGATTCATTTTTTAGTTATCTTTTTTAATAGTAAATAAGTCATTCTGTAGTACAGGGTTGGTAATGCATCGGTGTGGATCTTACAGCGTGTTTTGTAATTATTTGTGGACTGCCGTCATCTTGTTCATGTAAATTACGTCTATTGAATCAAATAGCTTGTTTATATAAGTTTTATTTTAATCTGTGCATATGCTGAATTCCTTATTCATGTTATTTTAATTCCCTTTCAGTATCCGCAAATGCACCACCTTCCTTTCCGACTACTACAGTTTTTCATGCTAGAGTAACAACACGGACAGAAGTACAGATGGAAAGCAACCACCTTGCCACCCCCGCCTTTGAAGTTGAAATCCCTGGTGAGTGACTTCAACTTTTTTTTATTAATTAGTAATTAAGAAATAAAACGCATTTATTGAACAACCTTGTAAATCATTGTTCTAAACATAAAAATTCTTTCATGTACGTTTTGACATATTTTCATCCTAAAAAAGGCAAAAAAAAGGTGTCTGTGACTCTATCTCCAATATGGTCACTTAAAGAAAGGCTCACTGTGCTCTAGGAACACAGAACGTTCACTGCTTTTTTACAGTATAAAAACTATAAATCGACGTCAAAAAATTGCTCTTTTTAAGTTTTAGAAAGAAAAGAGATTTAGATGAGAAAATCCTGATTGGCCGGTTTCTAGTGACGTAAGCAGTGAAGCAATGACAATTAAATTATATTCCCATTTCAGCTGGAGATATTGATGTGAATCTCAGCATTGGAGAGAACATCCTAGAAAACTCCCAGTACTCCAGAGCCTTGCCTACCACCATGGCCAACAACTGCGACGACTTCGTCACACTCACCTCCGTCCAGGCGGACGTCAAGTAACACTCGGTACAAATGACAACATTTCCAACAAATCAAACAATGCAACAGAAACTGACAGCTGTAAATAAACTGTACATAGACAGTACAAGATAATCACTTGACCATTGTGTCATTCTTACCAGTGATTCTCCTTGTGCAGCTGTATATATGCCATACTCTGTGCAATAGTAAGAACAGCAAATGCACATTAACCTGCTTCAAAAACATTATAAAAGGGCTCTTTTAATTCTTTTTTGCATTTCACATGCTTTGCCAGTGATGTTGTATAGTGACATTGACTTTCCGGTGGATAAAGATGCAGCCATTTGAAATAGCTGATCGATTTTTTTTTCTTTAGATGTAACTTTGAAATTTTGAATTCAACTCACACGATCCTTATATGACAGAAGACTGAGTGCATTTCTTACCAAATTAAGTATAATGCTTTGGCTTTTTTCCTTTTTTTCCACAGAAAATGAATATTTCTGAAGAAATATACATACATGTATAGTTACCAGCTGTGCTGTTAAAAATGTAAACCATATTCTAGATGTAGTTGTAGACATGAAATTGTTGTGTTAACTTTAAGCTGGACTTAAAAAATGCCCATAAAAGCTTTAAGGACTCACTGAACAGACTGCTTGTCTTAAAATATAAAATCATTGTTTTGTGGTATATGTGATATTCAATACTAATATATTAGATAGGTCCACAAAGTCTGGGCTGTTTGTACATAAATATACCAGTGGATCAAGTTTGAAAGAGATTTAAACTTGGTCTTGTGTCAACTTATACTTCATTTAAAGAATAAAAATATATGAAAAAAAATCTGTCTTGACGGTGATCCATGTTTACTGCTTTGGCTACAGAAGAAAGTACATGTAGTCTACTCACTTTCTTGGACTCAATAATATTCGAGCTTTACTTGACTTCAAACAAATTTCAGATAATATATATATATATACTGACAGTCAATGAAAACGCATCATTTATTTATCAAACAATATTTTTGTTCCTTTGGCATATTAAGAAAATAAGTTTACGTGTGAAATATGACCCATTATTCAGTTACACAAGGTGAAATAAAGGTCAGAAAAGATCATTAAAATGCAAGGTCAGGTAATCAAATCTCTTTGGTTCCGCCCATCCTCCAGCATCCCCAGGGCCTGCAGTCACTCTTTTAGTGTCAGACTTGGCATCACTGTACTTTTTTGTCATGTGTCACACTGGATTTGGTGACTACCTTAAATAGGCTTAATTAATCACCATATATTGAACCTGATTAATTCACACCAATCACGAGACAGGAAAAACATGATTTTGTAACAGCTGGTCACAAAATCACCGATGCAGAAATTTTAAACATCTGAGTGGACAGCCCACTCTCTTATGACCAAACAAGTGCATTGGTACTCATTTAAATGGTTGGAATCGATTCTCGGTAAAAAAAAAAATACAAGAAAGTTTTCGGATGCATTTTCATTGACTGTCAGTATACATAGTGCCACATTAAACTCAATTCTTAGCAGATCAATTTCATACTACTTCTATACTGACATATTTTTGTCTACTAAATTAGTGCAACTTTGAGTAAATCAAATTAAAAAACATACATATAAAATGTTCATGGAGTTTATTTTCTGAGCTTGCTTTATTTTACAGCTAGCATATTCCATGCAGAATTTTTTACCATTCATACTTCATAATGAAGATTATCAAGTAATACAGATAAAATGTACAATATGGATAAACATATAACTTACTTTTATAAACTGTAAATTGCAACATTGTTTTAGTTATAAATTAGTTTATTTATACAGGGACAATAGTATATTTTATTGCCAAAGTCAACAAATCCGAGTTTTAACAATATGTAGACAACTCTGGGCGGCCAATTTTTTTCAAATTTTGCACCAATCTTTCTGTGTGACTTTATTTACATCAGAAAACATGTCCCACCATTTATTAAATAAATAAGTGCTGAGTGGGGGGCAGCAAAGACTGATCTCCATGTCTTATTTGTACCTGAGAGAGAAAATCAGTCATCAAAAGTCGTTTTCTTATTTTGGGGAGTCCCATTACTAGCTCCAAAGCTTCTGAATCCTCCTCTTTGATATCCCCGACCTCGTCCTTGACCCCTGCCGCGACCTTGACCTCGCCCTCTATCTCCAAATCGTCCTCTGTTACCAAATCCATTTCTCTGACCTCCGTTGAAACTTCCGTTTCTCTGGAAGCCCCTCCCCTGTCCACTCCCGTACTGGCCGCCCCCTCCCCCAGCACTGTCCAGTATTTCAGGCAGCTCTGTGGCCACAGTCAAGCTGTCATATCTCCCATCCTGCCAGTTCTGGGCTATGAACTCGTCGTGTTCTGATGGCAGGTCAAACACACACCCCTAGAATTAGAGAAATGTCGATTGTATTAATTACAGAATAGCAATGGCCCAGTCATATTATCTTATTATATTGTATGGCCATATGATTATCTACATACCAATTCAGAACTGAACTGAATGAATGTGAGATGGTTAAAATAAATAATATAGACACCTGATCTGGTACTTTACAAAATGCAGAAGCCAAACACCTATCAAAATCAAAACAAGCAAAAAATGAAAATAAATATGTAAAATAAATAAAATAAGTCTAAAAGTAGCTAAAGTAACTCGTACCTAATCCTTAGTTTTAATCTATTCAATAAAAGCTAATTTTTAACACCTGAAAAACTTACAATACAGTTTTTGAAAAAGACTTTTGTAAACTTTAAATGAATTCCCCCACTCACCATTCTATCTTTGCACATTCTCATTCCCTTGATGCTCTCCTTCATGTCAGGAGTGAGCTGCTGCTCTATGCCTCTCCATGCATAACCTGTGCCGCGCATCTCAATGTTGGTGCGGAAAATATATGTGGTGTAACCCTACAACATAAGATGTAAGTCAGCATCACAAATGGATGTTAAAGTTTTCCACTGTATTTAATATCTCTGGATAAGGGTGGAGAAACTCTGCCTGAATTTTGGACATATCAGACACATGTTTACAATGATCAAACTTAATTTTATCAAAGCACTATTTCTGCAATTTTTATAATTGATCAATTAAACCAGTTTGTTACACACTGTACTTTGCATATACGTAAGATAACGACCCCTTTAAACTTTACAGCACCAATCTAGCTTGCTGCATTATTAAAGAATTCTGTGTTAGCTATTATTAAAGCATCCCATTTAACTATAATTGAAGTATTCCATATTAACTATTATTGAAGTTTTCCATATGAACTCACCTCCTGAGAAGTTAACAGAGATCTGGCGACAATATTAGTACTCCCTGAGATGACCGCCAGAGCTGCCGCCAGCGCCCTCTCTGCCCCCTTCTCCTCTATCAACTCCCTGGCCGAGGAAGTGAAATTTTGGAGGGTCTCTTCTCCGACATCATCCAAAGACCTGAAATTATTTTTTAGCATTTTTCATTTTCCTACGCTAAACAGAAGTGGTGCAACTGACAAAAAATGTTTTTAAATCATTTCAGTTATTGATGTTGGTCATGTCTTTTTACACATCTAAGCACTGTTATTCAGATCATATATCTATTGGAGTATTACCTTGCTGCATCTTTAGCTGCTGCTTTAATGATGTCATTTGGGGTGGGGCCACCAATCCTTTTAAACTTTATTCCCTAGAAAATAAGGCAAAATATAAATTTCTGCATCATGTTAAAAAAGAATAAATTAATAACTTACATACAATTATTACGTTTTAAAAGGATATATTCAATTACATAATGTCTAAAATAAGATAATCTAAATAAGATTTTAATATTTCCTAGTTGATTGGATTGGACATGAGCTAGTCAAATTACCAGACATTTTATAAATGAAAAGCACTTGCTATTAACTGGGTTAATCATAGTTTACTCCATATACAGGAGAGTCTACATTAAAAGTGAGATGTGACAAAAGCCCTCAGATTTCTTGACAATTTCAAACATTACCACCTTTCAAGTCAAAATTCAACATAATTCAATTTAAGTTCAAGCATTCCCTAAAAAACAATCACAATCATCATCATCTTACTGCTTTATGCTCCACCCACTGCAGATCCCTCTCCTCCTGGAATTTATAAAAGCAGATACAGACGCCCTCTCTCCCTGCTCTGCCGGTCCTGCCAGACCTGTGAATGTACGACTCCACGTCCTTGGGCGGACTGCACTGGATGACCAGGTCCACCTCTGGGATGTCCAGACCACGCGCAGCTACATCTGTGGTTACCAGGCAACGGTACTTCCCTTCTCTGAATTTCTGTAAGCAATATGGATGATATTCAGTTCTGTTGAAAGTTATTGTACAAGTGGACTTTAATAATGAGCTGCTTTGGTAGAGGTCTGCACTTTCTGAGTGCTTTCCTATTTCTGTGTTACCTTATCTTCAGCACCATCTTTCTCTTTCCTAATTCTATATAACCTTACCTTCAGCACCATCTCTCTCTTCTCCTGTGGAACGTCCCCGTGGAGGACATGGGCCTCCACTTTGATGTCAGAGCTGACGGCCAGCTCATCAGCGTCCCTCTTGGTCTGACAGAAGACCATGGCTCTGCCGTGGTTCCCACTGTACACCTGTATGACAGCCCCTATGGTGGCTGCTCTGTCCTGGTACCCACACTTAATAGCCATGTGCTGAAAATGTTATCAGACAAAATGACTGTCTCACAATATGGTAGTGTTTTTATATCAGTTCATAGTGTTCAATACAAAATATTAAGAAATTCATGCCCAATGTCGAAGTCTGAAGTCAAGAAATGCCAACTTCTATGCATCTTTATTACTTGTATCATGCAGTTTTTTACAGACATATTAAATCAATTGATGAGATTTGTGCAGTTCTTCACAGCAGTAACTAAACAATCAGTAAATTATCAAAAGCATAAAATATTCTAATATTCCTCAATCTTTAACCAAGATACATTATTATCTTGAAGCACTTAACAAAAATGTGAATCTGCCAGCACGACCATCACATATTTATTTTCAATACACCTGTACAGAGATTGAAAGTGTTAATCAGTACTTACCTGGACAGTGGTGGCAGTCCTGATGTCTTGATTACCAATCAAGTCCACGTGTTTCACGTCTCCCTTCATGTACTTCTGGGCTGTCTTGTGAACCCAGGGGGGCAGGGTGGCTGAGAACAGCAGGGTCTGGGGGGTATCTGGACTGCCAGCCAGGGCATCAGCTACACCACCTGACACGACACAGCAGCTTTACTATTTTTATCTTTTTGTCATGCAAAATATATCTTCTTATTGTAGTGGTTGTTTGTGAGTCTACTGGGAAAATTACCTGCTAAATGACAGATTTAATAACCTAAAATCCATGTCAGCAACAGACATAAAACTATTCATTTCCCAAAAGGTATCTGCCCCTGCCACTAACCTAAATTTAGGAATTTATATAAGTTTTAATCTATTCTATGAAAGCTAATTTTTAACACCCGATTTACTTACAAAACAGATGTAACTAACAATCACAAATATCAAGTCTAGGCCAAAGTCAAAACCATCCATTTTACCTGTCTTGTACGCTGCCTGTAATATTTCCTCCACGGACTCCGTGAACCCCATGTCCAGCATCCTGTCCACCTCGTCCAGGACCACGTGCCTCAGGTGGGCCAGGTCCAGCGTTCCCTTGCGGACATAGTCCAGGATACGGCCAGGTGTCCCCACTAGAATGTCCAGACCCTTCCTGATGGCTTGCTCTGAAGACAAAAGCAATCAACTCTGCTGACTAGATGAAACTTGGTAAAGTGTTTCAAAAGCTAAAGGTAACCGTTCTGCTGGACATCAAAATTATAGAGGTACAAACTATTTCAATATAAAGCTGTTGACTGAAGAAAAATTACTTCATTCTAAAAGGTAACTGCGAAGTAAATGTTTTGTCAATTGTGCCTCAACATTCATGTCTCTTTATACTGTTACGGTGTGATTGCCAACATTAACTGGTAGAATATCTGAATCTCTCAAGGGGTCTTCTATGTTCCAAACAGAAACTATTAAGATAATAGTGAAAAACTGCTATCATATTAACTGTACCAGTATATACAGACATTTTTCAAGTGTTATGACATTTCCTCAATTTCATGCTAAGATTGTCATATTGATGTAAATTCTATCATTAACCAAGACATGTAAAAATATGGCATGCGGTTTATGCTTCTGAACACAGGAAATAAAAGTTCTGATCTTGTAAGCTATGTTTTATTTTCTCCCCCATCCTAGTGGGAGTGGTTTTCCTTACCCTGGGGAGCAAAGGCTGTACCTCCATATATACAGAACACCTTCAGGGTCTCTGTTATGGACTCAAAGTCTTCACTGACTTGCTTTGCTAGCTCTCTGGTGGGGGCCATCACCAAAACCTGCAGCGGAAGATAACCAAAACATGTTACATATTGTAATTTTATACTATTAACAAATTAATTAATCATACAACACACATTTATTGCTAAGATTGCTATTGCTAAGTCTGTCATGATTAATGCAACAATTAATTACAGTTTAAATATCATTTCTCAATATTGAAAATAAAAAATTAAGTTGAACAACAAGATTGAAATGTTTACCTTGGGTGGTCTTCCATGCTTCCCCTTGGTCCCCTCTAACTGCAGCTTCTCTACCAGTGGTAGGGCAAATGATAACTGAAACAAAGTTCATCTCTTAGCAGCAATTCAACATTGAAACCTATTGGTACATTATCTGTTGTGGCTTGCTCCCACTGAAAATGTTAAATAAAAGCTAAACTTAACAACTTGTGATAAAATAAAAGTCTATAACATTATATATTACTTTTAAGGACTTTAAAAATAAAAAAATACTCACTGTTTTACCAGTTCCAGTTCCTGAAAAGTAGATCAAAATTATCAAATACCAGTATTAGTCTTGTGGTGATAAGTATTAAGTATAATTCAATAATGCTCAGCAATAAGACAGAAATTAAGCTTTACATTTACTTTTCTAATGTACAGGACATAAAAGTATGAAATTTTAGGATAAATAGTATAAAATTTGTGAATTGTAAACTAAAGACCAGTAAAATCCATAAAGTCACACTATGTAAAGAACTCACTGGCTTGAGCAATGACATCAAAGCCATCATAAACATGATCGAATGTCTGTGCTTGGATTGGAAATAAGTATGTCACACCGCGCCCTGGAAATAAAACAGGTAAACTACACTGCAAAATGAACTAAACTAGGGTAATTCATTTACAACTGAATGCTCAACATGATCAAAACCACCAATCTTTTCAACTGTTTATTCTGAAATTAATTTAGACAATATTTTAAATCAGAGAGAGAACACTACATTTCTTACCCTGTAATTTTTCAACCATTGGATTAGATATCCTGAATTTACTGAAAGCTCCATCTTGTTGCTCTTGGGTCAGTTCTGGAAGATCTATGGATGGTGGGGTCTCCTCCTCCTCTGTTGTTTTTGCCTTTTTCGAGGATTGTTTTCCATTTATTTCAGTTTTTGCTTTCTTAGGGGACACTTCACAATTCTCTTCAACTTCTGCAGCTTCTGCTTTTCGTTTTCTTTCTTTATCTTTTTTCTCTTTTTTCTTTTTCTGAAAACAATAAGACCTGGTGCTGAGTAGAATACAAAACAGCCGGTGATTACAAAAGATGAGGCGTGTTAAAAAAATATTAACTGATTGCATCAAGTCTCATGGAGTTGGATCAATCTACATAGAGCTATTGCTTCAGTCTTGTGAGCATTTTTGTAGAATGAGGACAGTCAAGAGTTTCAATTCCTATTTGAGCCATCTGCTGAGGAAAAAGAACAACTGCCTATACTAAGCCACTGACAGTGTTTGATTCCCATTGCCATGTGGATAAAATGAGGGTGAAATTTGGGCTCGCCCACATAGCTGGGAACATGGACATCTTGGGGCCACTACCTGTCCTTGAGAGCAAGGTCACCATAGTTGCAGTGTGATCCCCTTAAGTATCCCAGCGAGGAGGAAATCAGGACTATCAAAACAGAGGGAGCACCTGTAGCAGAAGGATATCACCCATGACACCGTAAACACACATTTACACCAATGGAGAGGGGAAAATTAAAAAAAGGCAGTGGTGTCGCCACACTCGGTGAGGGTGGGCACCAATCTTTTCAGATGAGTGGGATACTTCAAATCAAAATCTTGACAGGGCAGTCAGGCTTGAAGGTAGGCAAGTTCTGGTCCTGCATGGCCGAGGTCTGCACAACTCCGCTGTAGATGACGCTGTGTGGCACACTATATTAAACAGTCGCACAAAAGTCACCTGATCCACTGCCACTGTTTCAAAGGGTCAGAAGAAATAGTGAAAACCTGGTTGGGTTATTTTCCCAATATATATTTTGGGGTAACTGGTACATATGTGTTCTTTGATGAGAACAATAATGCTGCTGGAATTGGTTCTGCAACCAAGGCATATTATGGAGCAATATGTCACATATGGTGTGCTTTAAGGGTCTGGACACAAAACCCAAATTGTATACTTGGGGTGCACTGGTGTCCCCCATTACAACCTACGGAACTAACTCTATCTGCATGTCTCGTAAAAATATAAAAGACCTGGATACATTACAAAACAAACAGGTCACAAGATTCATGGGCTTATTTTCGCGATCTCATACCTCTGCTCTTCTAGAGGCCATACATATTCTGAAAATTAGTTATACTATATCTAGAAATGTAGAATCACTATACCATAGGGTAATGAGCATTGACACACCATATCTTAAACTTTTAACTCATCAACTGTCTCATTTTCTCCTTAATTGTTCCATAGTGAAGGGGTCGTTGCTCCAGAAGATTGTTTCTGCTGCGCTTGGAGGAGATTGGGGGAGAGGTGTTGTAAAGTGCTGTGACTTCCTATGACACACAAAAATTTTGTGAAAGACGAGATCTTGGTGTACTCACTAACATTGAGGTATATATATGTAGACGTGTGTTGAGTTTATACTGACTTAATATAGGGGTAATTGATGACAGGACTTGACAGTGTGATGGACAAATCAGGGGTGGATCCTGAGATATTTTCTGACAGGGTTCCGAATTATCTTTATTAATCCGTGCTCCACTTTTGACCGTCTTCCGACAGAAAAAAAAAGAGATATCTGTCAATGTAAACTTGAAAATCTGACCGACTTCTGGAAGACCCAAAAGACGGCCTAAATCCGCCCCTGCAAATATTCATACACTTATATCTCAGTTGCCAGCAAAATCCCTGGAATTTTAGTACTATAGTAGAAATTAGAATGCTACTCAAAACAGGGAGAGATGAAAAAAGGGGTTCCAATACAAGTTCGAGTTATTAAACTCAAATTCCCCTGTCAGTATCAGACAAAAACACAAGAGTGAATATATAAAGTTGAACAGGTAAACTGGCTGATTCTTTGAAATTTATGTAGAGAGGGTTAAAGGAGAGGGAAAGTACTAAAATAATAACCATTTTATTTGTCAGCCATACGCCAGAAATATATGACCGACTAAGACCCATGTCACATATAATAATAACCATTTTATTTGTCAGCCATACGCCAGAAATATTTGACCGACTAAGACCCATTTTACGTACTTAACTAAAGTAACAAGGGGTATGATGAACACGTGTAGATAGCCATTTCAATCGATTGTGTGATTCACTGATTGTGAAAGACAGGCTACCATTTTAATCTTGGTCTTTGAAATCATTAAACAACAAACCTACCTTGTCTTTACTCTTCTTCTCTTTTTTGGCCACAACATTATCTACAACATCCGCTGTATCATCTTCTCTTAGCTGAGCCATTTCATTCACAATTTGAAGTTCCTTTGAGATTTCTGTGTACACGTGAAACACACCACATGGAAAAGATCGCTTAGGTAATAAAATTGATATAATGCAACTTTTTTCTGGGTGTTTGAGATTTAGTTAGTTTAAAAAATTTAACTCTTTGTTAATATAATATAATATAATATAATATAATATAATATAATATAATATAATATAATATAATATAATATAATGTTTCAGAAAATCATTCACAAGTACCTTTGAGAATCTGTGGTATATTTTTCAATGTTTTAAGCGATATGCGCATAACATGTGCGCATTTTAAATGCCGCTAATTTCATTGTAACCTTCATAGAGCATATTTAGCGCAAAATAATACTACTTGTAACCTACATAATCTTTGTCTCATAAAACCTGTGATAATGCCAGATGTTAAGCTGAACTTGGTAGTTGCCATGTGCAACAACAGGGGCATTGGTATAAACGGTCAATTACCTTGGAGGTTAAGGTAAGTGGAGTGCAAGCGCGAGGACTACTGGAGCGCGCTAGATCAGTAAATGTAACTGCAACTTGTTAGTGTTACTGTCAGTAGTAGTAGTAAGCAGTGCTACGCTGCACATACTTAGGTTTACCATTGGAAGTTAATACACAAAATATACAGAATTAGGTCAAATAATATCTATGACACGTGGAGTACAGTAGTATGAAAATTTTAAATAATTGTAATCAAGAGATTTTTAATAATGCATTTATTTTAACTTTTTTGGTGTGAAGATGTGTGGTGGTGTTCAGTAGAGATACAGAGTACTTATGCTATATATTGATATACACATGATATACATGTACATGGTAGTATGTATCAGTACTTGTTTTTTTATTTATATTTATTGGTTTAAACATTTTAGGGGAGATATGAATTTTTTCAAGAAAATTACATCAGAAACAAAAGACCCAGGTATGACTCTTGACTCACTTGATTTTTAACTCTGATGAATGCTTTTACATATGCACTTAGAGTACTTTTGTCCATTTTTTCCTTTGCAATTAGAAAGTGTTCTTTTCATATTGTCAAATTTTATCAATAGCAATGCAGAACAACTGTGTATTTTATAGTGTGAAGTTGTATTCTATATTTTATTTATTAACAGAACTTCATGGCCAGAGTTTTATTTCAGAAAAGAAAAATGCTGTCATTATGGGAAGGAAAACATGGTTCTCTATACCAGAGAAATTTAGACCACTTGCCAACAGAATAAATGTAGTTCTCAGTAGAGAAATGAAGTGAGTATAATACATGTATTTCTGCATTATACCTTAAGGCAGTTTAAAAGATGAGTACTGTGGTTAGTCATAGATTATTTGTCAAATTATCATCTGTCAGATTTAGTTTTTGGTGATATTTATGGTACAGATCAGAAAACTGGTTCAGTATAGTAATGGTGGTGATGAAAAGCATTGGTTTTTGTTTTACTATCAAGCAAGTCAAAGGATAGTGTTGTCCACTATGTTATAACGTTATATTTATTTCAGAGATAGTCCAGATGGAGCTCATTTATCTAGAAGTCTTGAAGATGCTTTGAGTCTTCTGTCAACTCCACCTTTGTCAGATAAAGTGGAGAGCTTGTTTGTCATTGGTGGAAGTGCAATATATGAGGTAGATCTATACACTAGCTGCTCTAGGCATATTAGTTTAACCAAGGAGTTATAACAGAAGGAGATTACACGCGTGGGGGCGGAGCCCGTATTACGGTCTCTCATTGGTCGGAATGAATAGAACCCAGAGAACAATGGATGTCTATCTCTGTTACGCTTAATTACTCTCGTTTAAATCTCGTTTGTTAGTATCTGTGCCTTCGTCTGTTGATTTTTGAGGACAGAAACAGAAACGGAGTCCCAAGTTTCTAAAAAATGAGAGAAATACAGAATTTATATGATAGTACGTTGGACAAGGTTTTCAAAAAACAGGTAAGTGCTTTTAAATGCATAACTACACGAAATATGAAGATAAATTGCAACTTTTATGTCGTAGGGTCTCACTGTGTAAGTGTCCAGCTACACGTTGATCTCGCGAGGTGGTGTGTGGAGAATAAATATTGCACGAAAAATATTTCCCACTCATAACAAGTGCCTATAATTATAGTATCAGATGAAGAAAGTTTGGTCTTTATACAGTTACAATTGTTAAGTAATTTGTGGCAATAGCAAAGAATAAAACTTAGGTGCACTTTCAGTAGCCGAATAACAAGCAGATGCTTAAGCCGCCATCTTGTTAATATTTCGAAAAAAAATTACTCCAAAAGACATTTTCCTCCTACTTTTTGAAACTTGTGTCACATGACAGTCATAAAATTTAACTAATTATTATGTGTGCAACACACTTGCTTGAGCAGTATTGTTTATTTTTGCGATTTTACATGTGGTCTAGCTTGGATACGACAATTGACAATTTTCATGAGTTCCGATCAAAAAGTGTTACGCTTGTTACGGCCAAAAGCCTTACCGCTTTTTGTACTTTTCAAATGCAAGATTATAAAAAAATTTGGTGTGTTTAGATTCTTGAACATCTTGGTCGTGGCGTGGTATATATTGCATGGATACTGCTCCAATATTTCTTGAAAAAAATAACCTGATTTGTTCAGAATACCAATTTTTTACTCTAGTGTTATGGGTAAATGTACCATTTTGGCCTTTACCTTTTTCATGTTTAAATCTAAAAAGACTTATCATGACAGTTGGTCATCATTTTTCTTCTCACCATGGTGGGTGGCTTTGGAGTGGTAACTTTGTTGTTAAAGTAAAGTGCTCAG